GCAATAAAAATCAATAGTTTTTACTAATCATAAATTATAGTACTTAGAAATATATACAAGGATGGTCCAACCATATAAAATTCTCTAAATAACAAGTATTAAGAGCTGCAAATTTCCAAGAGCACATTAGGAGTTGAGTACTATATATATAGAACACAATAGTAGCTCCACTAAAAACAAAAATGTAATATGCTAAGGAAATCAACATTGGTCATCTTGTCAATCGAGATGAACTCGAAGCCAAAAACACTGCCTCACAAAACATTCCTTCCCATCTTCGGAATCTAAGTTTACTTGAGCCTCTTCTGATCCATTGTAGGATTCTTCTTTATTTTTTTGCGTATTTCTTTCTAATGATTAAATTAAATTAGATTTTACTATTATTTTACTTAGGTCATTAATTGAAGCCCTTTTTTTCCTAAAAAAATCCTCTGCCTGTGCTGCTTTATTCTATATATATATATGTGTGTATGTGAATATGGGACTTCACATTTAAATTATTAATTTTAAAAATGCAGGAGGTAGAAAGCATTGTTAACCAGCGTGCTAAAGATGCCAAAAACAACAATGGTGAAACTGCTTACCAAGTTTTGGCTAGAGAGCACAAGGTCTTGCTTAAGGAAGCAGAGGATTGGAATAAAGGGTTAGCAAAATCATATATAATTGTTGGCGCTCTCATCATCACCGTAATGTTCGCCGCAGCTTTTACCCTTCCCGGGGGTAACGATCAAAATAAGGGATTTCCAATATTCAAAAACAAAACAGCATTTTTGGTATACATAATATCCGATGCAATCTCGCTGTTTGCTGCAGCTGCCTCAGTAATAATATTTTTGGGATTTCTCACATCACGTTACAATATGGAAGATTGCCACAAATCTATTCCCAAGAAGTTGATGGCTGGGCTTTCTACTTTGTTTGTCTCTCTTGCAGCGATGATGATAGCATTTTGCTCGGCTATTTTTCTCATGCTAGAAAACCGATGGTGGATTATCATTCCATCTGTGTTGCTTGCGGGCATTCCAGTCAGCTTGTTTGCGTGGTTGCAATTTCCTCT